ACACACACACACACACACACACACACACACACACACACACACACACATATTGATCCATTCTTCCTTCTCTACATTCATATTACATTACAGTTACAACCGGTCCGTATCAACGCTCGCTCACTTCCCTGTCTGGACACCTGACAGGGAAGAGTAACGTTCTCTTTCTAAGGAAGAAGATACTCCAATACATTTAGAGCTGTCCACTAGTAGAGCTGCTGTTCATATTTCATCTTAACTTTCTCATTTGTTGCAGTCTAGTTATGTGCTAATGGACATTTACACAGTACATTTCATAACATGTTCACTCAAAGAGCCTCACATTTACATTAAAGGACAAAATATAAGAATATAGATACAACCATGAGAACATAAGAGCATATTCAAGATAAATATAAGAATACAGTAGTACACACAAGCATCGACCCAGTAAAGAAACAAAACATTAACATAATCAAATAGAAACCCATGCGCGCGCACACACACACACAGTTCTGGTGGAGACCAGAACTGAGCTAAAAGTAGACTAGATGTTGGATTTATATTTGCCAGAAACACTCTGAAGTTTGCTTCTCTTCATGAGGTCAACATGTCGGATGTTGTGTTTCCAGCTTGTTTGCATTGTTTGCACTACAGGGGCCAAAATCAATGAATGCAGATCAGCTGGCTGTGGCTCAGAGGTAGAGCGGAAGATCGGCTGTTTGCTCGCCGGCTCCTCTTGTCCAAATGTCCAGGTCTCCCAAAGGTGTGTGAGAGTGATCAGAGTAGAATGGGATGGGCAGCGCTCTCCATCAGTGTGTGAGTGTGTATGAATGTGTAAATGTAGTGTACAGGAGCTTTATAAACACAACTCTATTTGTCTTGGTGCTGCATGTGAACAGACTGTGTAACTCTGACTCCAACGTGACACCAACACTTCTTAACGGTCATCTGACAGTCCGGTGGTCATTTAAACTTTGGCTTCTCCTAACAAACTGCGATCATGTGCTCCAGGGTTCATACAGACCCGAGATATAAACAACGGGTGAACATAGATAAATGTAAACGGTCACCATCGTGTGATGTGCTTATGAAGCCTGACTTGTGTCATCCTACCCTCTCTCAGTTTAACCTTGATCCAGGGCAGCAGCAGCCTGACATCAGTGAAAACCCCCGGAGATCCTCTCCTCGAAGGGGGCGGCTGCTGTTGTTTTCCCAGCTCCGACCACAACACTTCCCCCAGGAAGTTACACCCAGGGCTACCCAGTGACCGTTGCCTGAACCCGCCGGACATACCAGAGGCCCCCCCGAGTCCCCCTGGAGAGAGAGGAAGGGAGGAGTAAAACACTGGGAAGGCTATTTAAAGCAGCTGAATAATGACATCTCTTCATAAGTGATGACTCATGGTCCCCAGGGTGCAGTGAATAAACGGAGTCTAGATCTACCTGGCAGGCATCTTCCCCCCCCCCCCTCTGGCCCGGCACACAGAACTGTCATGGCTGCTGTCTGCTGGTTACGGAGTGAACCTTTGACAGTCTGGAGGATATATTTACATTTGGCTGGTTCCACCAAGTCTAACTGGACCTCTCTCAGCAGCGCAGGAAGACGACCCTCTGGGAAAGCATTACAAAATAAAAGCTCATCTGCTTGAACAGTATTTGCTGGGAGTGAGAGAATGACTTACTTTCCTTCATCCTGCCCCATCCACCCACAATGCAACTGGTTTCAGGCGGAAAGCTCTCATTAGGCAAAGGCAGACATATTGGTTGGACACGGGCTCCTGTTGAAAAATCCCAGAGCAGCAAATGAACAAAACGTGATCAGAGCGACAGGAAATATACTACTCGTCACGATGAAAACGTGCCCAGTAGAATGTGCTGATCCAACTCCATCAGAGCTATGTCATAGCTCAAAGGCAAAGCATGATGGTACTTCTCATGGACTGAGACAGACTTGATGACAAAGACCTGCTCCTCTTCATCGTCTACAGTCTGGTCAAACTCTCCCACCACTGAGAAACTCTCTAGACAGAGCAGAAAAGATTTAGATTCATTGTAATATTCATACAATAAACAGAGCACCAGCATGCAGAGCAGGGACAAGCTTAATACGCCAACGAGGGGAGTAACAACACTCACTTTGAGAGCGATGCAAAGCAGTGTGCAGCGGTCATGATCCAGCGATCAGTCAGGATGGCCCCTCCACAGAAATGAGAGCCTCTGTTCCGCAGGGAAACCTGAGCAAAGATAAACTAACAGCATGAAATCACAAGAGAGGTATCTTCTATCACAGTCCTCTTCATGTAGAGAATACAGACCTGTGTCTCTGCATATCTCCACCACATCCCCAGTCTGGTTTCAGCACAGCAGTTGACATGAAGCTGCTAGCATGGCTAAGGACTCAGGTTATTCTGGGTTACCTTCTTCTGCTACATTTGTTCGTGCCATGCCAGCCGTACAAAAGTGACCACTTCATTCACACAAGTCTAAGGAAATCCTAAGTTATCGTGTACAAAAGATCCTCTCAATGGGTATGATGAACAATAAAGGCCCGTGTGGAGAACACATGTAAGATGAGATGAGATGCTAATAAAACTAAATCAATATAATTGTGTCTAAATCACCGATGATTACGTAATATTGATCATGATGTTTTTGTTGTGTGTAGCCTTTGTGTCGAAGTGGAGAAAACATACTGCAACATTTTCATGCAAATAAAGAAATGTATTCAGAGTAGTTCATGTGACTGCAGAGTAAGAGTCAGTCGGTCATCAGCTCTTTGTAGAGTAGTGAGAGCCATCAGGGCTGAACTTCAACAAGAGGAAAAGCAAAGAAAAAGATCAGCACAGTAACATTAAGAAGCTTCGACCACTGACCAGCCATGGATGTGATCCGTATGTGGCCGGGCCCCCCCCAACCACCCTCAGAGAGTGACCCATCGGCCTCCACACCTGAGGAGTCCCACACTTTGAACCTGACAGACAGGAGGACATCTTCTCAGACTTCCCACAGTCATTGCATGAAGTATCCATAAAAGACCAGAAGGGGTTGTGACTCACCTGTCGGAGCAGCATCGATGCTAGTGTTGATCCAGACCCAGAGAGAGAGCAGAGTGCCAGCGGTCCTCATCACTACCACACACATTTACAATGGTCCCTACTGGGGAGACAAGCTGCTGTGTGAGGGGACACTCATTAACAAGCCAGGCAGATCAGGCAGCAGGTGGTGCGTTCTAGGTCACAACCAAACGAACTGCAGTAATCTACTGAGTGAAAGTGTTAGTCTCAAGGTCAACCTACTGCGCCACACACACACACACACACACACACACACACA